ACACTTTAGTTTTCAGTTTTCACTTTTCCTTGGCTCTGAAATATGTAGCTTTTTGTTTCAATTAGTGTTCTTAGTTTACACTAATGGTTAGTTAATTACTCGTTATTAATCCATTGAAAGTTGAATTAGTTTCCCCTGCTTTGGTTAGTTTTTGCAATTAGCATTTGTCGTAATGGAAAGTTTTCATTAGCATGAAATTGAACACCCTAGTTAATTTCAGTGACTGAGTTTTCATATCATAGAAATTTCCTGTCAAATTAGCTTAACATGTGCTACGTTAAGCCATTTACTTGTTTCTAATTAGCTACTTGTTCTCATTCTGGTTTGTGCTCAGGCTTATTAAACTTGTCTGCTGCCTATGGTGCTCATCAGACCAAATCTTTGATTCTAGATCAAGACAAGATATGTAATTGTTGAGTCTGATATGAGGATCGGCATATCATTTTTGGAAATCTACAGTTTCTATTATGTGCTAACTAGAAGCATTTCAACTTCTAGTTGTTACGCACCACCCCACATTTGATAAAATATGAGTCCAGCTGAAATAGACTTAAGGAAAATGAAATGGTCAACAAATCTTTATTTTTTCTTTAAGTTTCACCTGCTTTGGTTAGTTATTGCAATTAGCATTATAGTAATGGAAGTTATAAGTGTGAAGGGGAATGCTTTAGATTTATGCCGAAGGTAAAAATCTAAAGTTATTAGGAATTAGAATTAGAATTAGAAGGGTATGTTTCTTTAGCAGTTGCTGTACTATTTTCAACTTGCTCATAAAACAATTTCAGTAGTCCTCTCCTGCTCCTCAATTTTCCTTCCGTGGGACGACTAGTTCATGTCAAGTTTCTAGGTAGCTTTTTATTGGTCCATCCTTTTCGACATTCAATGCATTGGTGCGTCTCCTTTGGGTTCTCTTGCATACTTTGAACACGTCAATAGTCCCATTCATAGAGCGGCTAGAACACGCTAACTGACTTTTGATCCACCCAACCTTGGATTCTTTGCAGATTTCAATTCTTTCTTTACAAATTTGATCTAAAACCTATCATGGTCGATTATTCAACATATCGCAGTTTCGTTTTAGAATGCATTGAAAGAAGTGACAAAAGACATCTCTCCTCAATTTTTTTTTCCACACTTCCTGTTCCACCAACAAGTCTTTCTCAAGTCTTTCCAGTCATATTGTTTTACCAAAAAGCCCCCCACCTAGGTTCTACTTTCTTTCATGCACTCATTTATTATTCATTAGGTATGATTAGGGGCTTTCCAATTGACCAATTCCAAAAGGTAGACTAGAGGCTTAATTTTGGAGACTAAGGTTTTCCTTAACATGAAATTGAACACCCTAGTTTATTCCAGTGATTGAGTTTTCATCTCATAGAAATTTCGTGTCAAATTAGGTTAAATGTGCTAGGAAAGCCATTGACTTGTTCCTATTTGGTTACTTGTTCACATTCTGGTTTCTGCTTAGGCTTATTAAACTTGTCTGCAGCCTATAGTGCACATTAGACCAAATCTTTGATTTTAGATCAAGATATGTTATTAATCTTTGATTTTAGACCAAATCTGATGAGAGGATTTCCACTTTTTTTTTTTTGGAAATCTACAGTTTCTATCAGGTTCTCACAAAAAACATTTCAACTACTAGTTGTTAGGCACCATTCCACATCTGATATAATATGAGTCCAGCTCAAATAGCCTAAGAAAAATGATATGGTTAACAAATCTTTGCTTTTCTTTCAACTTTCGTTTTGTCTTGTCTTTCTTCTTGATTTCAAACTACTATGATAAGAAAACATGATGAACTTAAAGGCAACAAAAGCAAGTCATACAAACCTATGGAATTAATTTTTTTCCCAATCCTCCTTTCACTTGCTTCCTTTCCTCTACCCTACCCTGTATTGTTGTGTTTCCTGATCTTAAGCACCCAGATTTCCTTACATATCCAGTAAGTTGTGCTAGAAATGCTTCCAACCATTCTTCTGTGTTTTTTCATATAGAAGCTTTGGAGAACATGAACTACTCTTGAAGTCAGGCCAGTCTTTTTGTTAATGCCCCAATATTGGGGGATACTTACAAGTTACAGTAATTTCACTAATGTGAGAACAAATTATTCTGAAATCCTGAAGTGGGATTCATTTTGAATTGGACTGCACATAGTTGCAACAATTGTGAGAGCAGTGGTGGGCGCTGTGGATTTGATAATGATCAGTTCCTTTGTTTTTGCTTTTATAAGCCTTATTCCAAAACCTACAATGATGGTAACCCTATAGGAAAATAACTTTTCTGTAGTTTTTTCTGCCTAATTAGTTCAATTTTAGCTTTCTCCAATTATGCATGTGTATCTTATTTTATTTGGACCAACCTTATGATGTAGACTGCGGTGGTAATGGTGTGCACTACACAATAACCTTACTTTCAATTACTGTTCTTAGTTTTCCCCCAAAAAAAAAAAAAAAAGTAACCCTAGCATCTGGGCATTTGGCCCACTAATTTTTAGTTAATAGTTTATACAAATTGTTTTTTTTTTTTTTTTATAAGGATTTATACAAATTGTTAATTGATATAGTTAATAAGTTATTAATTCAAAAAGAAAAGTAAAGCTTACTCCTTATCCTGGCTTTTATGC